CCCCAAAACCCCAAAACCCCAAAACCCCAAAACCCCAAAACCCCAAAACCCCAATACCAAACCCAAAGATTGAAATTTCGATCTTTAAAAGCTCATAACGAAACGTTCATTATTCTAAAATTTATTCAGAGAGTTCACAGCCTTTATAGATATCAGAATCAGGATCTCTTACAGGCAGATCCCATAAGGAATGAGGAGACACGAATTTTGACCCATCGAGTTTCTTCACAAGGTCTGATACCTTGATAAAGTCTAATTTAGAGTGAGATTCGTAAATCTTTGTCTGGTCATGATACTTTTGCTTCTCTTGACCAGCTGTTATGATAGCGTTTCTTATGGTAATCAATTGTTTAACAAGCTTCTTGTAAGTTCTAGTAGTCTGCATGAATCCATGCCCATTCTTTTTAAGGTAATTCATTAGATCGTCTGATAGATTAAGATCTAGGGCAATTTCTTCTGGGCCTGGCTCTTCGAGTTCTTTATATTTATTCTTGATTACTCGTTTTCTTCCAAGTTTGTTAAGATATTCGCTCATGTTCATCTTCTTGTACACAGCATGAAAGCATTTGTTATCTTTGGATACCATATAAGTTAAAATATCATCAAATGCTTTCTTAACAACATTGACTCTGTCAGGACCCCATTCACTCAGATCGCTCAAAGCCATTTCTATTTGACTGAACCGAACACTATCTGGATTTTCTTTGAACATTTTTGGTAGCTTAACAAATGCAAAATTTTCATGGTGATCTATCTTAGCCTTGCTCTCATTTTGATATAATTTTGTTGGCTTCATACTGCTAATCTCTTTCTTTAACTCCCATATTTCTTTATTTCAATGCCATATTTTCTTGGACAAGTTTCTTGTTAGTTTCCTCTACAGATCAATTCCTAGCTTACCTAGCTTAGTGAGGTATTGTTTCTTTCTGTCTCTGTACTCTTTTGCTCTTAGGTTATTAGACTTAACTTTCCTTTCACCTTCTTTACCCTCACTTGCATCACTTCCCTTTAAACCTCCCCTCCTGTCTGAACTTTTCATATTACCTTCCTAAATTTTCTATATTTCCTCCAATCCCCGGGGTTTTGGGGTTTTGGGGTTTTGGGGTTTTGGGG